AAGACTGCATTTTTAATTTACCCATTTTAATTTATTGATGAATGAGAGAGAGAGAGAGAGAGAGAGAGAGAGAGAGAGAGAGAGAGAGAGAGAGAGAGAGAGAGAGAGAGAGAGAGAGAGAGAGAGAGAGAGAGAGAGAGAGAGAGAGAGAGAGAGAGAGAGAGAGACAGTACTCTTTGCCAGAAAACCAGTGGCTCCAGTTACAAGAATGGACCTGTTTTCTAAGAACTCAAGAATGCTGCCCAATTCCATTGGAGCAGAGAGAGAGAGAGACGGTGTGCAGTGTGTGAGAGAGAAAGAGAGACAGAGAGAGAGAGATCAAATTTGGAGAGGGGTTATATAGGGAAAAAAAAGAAGGAAAATAGGACAAAAATTGAAGGAGTTCAATAGTGTGGGGTGCTTCATGCAAATATATATACCGCAGTTTATGGGATTTCTGGGCCCCAATTTGCAATTAATACAAAAGTTTGTTTATTGAAAAAAAAGAAAAGGGATTGAGTGCACGCAAGAGAGAGTAGATTTCTTATGGTAAATTGCAGATTGACACTCCAATTTTTTTTCTCTATAATATTCAAATTTTCCAAAACAAGTGTTACGGTTTGTTTAGTTAGTTTGTTTGTTTATTTTTGTATTTTTATTTTGTTTCTTTTTAAGGGTAAAAACGAAAAAGCATCTTTGTCCCCCTAAAATATATGTCAATTTGCAATTTGCCCCTAAATATCCTTTTGTATTTGTCACGACTATTTCAAAGGATTCCAGCTCGTAAATACATTCTGGCTAGTTTCATATACTAGTTTCAGATTGATCCCGATTGGTCTTGTATATATCGATTGAGGTTAATGATGTTTGGGAAGCAGAATAATTGATTTTGGAGTAGAGGTAAACGTCATTTGGTTATATAAGTATGGTTGAATGAAAAGAAAAAAAAAAATCGAAATCAATTAATGAAGGGTAAATTTGTCATTTCATGTAGATAGTGAGTGAATATGCAATTGTTAAGAAACGAATAAAGAAACGACAAAGCAAAGAGAAATCTAGAAGACGTTAGAAATAAGTAAATTATTCTCTTCTTCTTGTGTGCACAACTCTTTACAATGTGCACTATTTATAGGACAAGAAAATCATTCAAAGGTCATGAGTTACGACTATAGAATTTATAACATTAATTAAAATTAAGGGCAAAAGTACAATTTTTTTCCCCTGAACAGGAAAAAAGTTTCACGGGCATGCCTCAACTCCATTAATTGTTGTAGGAAGGCCAAAAATGTCAATTTTTGGCCAAAATTGGTCGGCCTTCAAAACACTGTGTCGTTCCACGTGAAAAGGAGTTGGGGCAAATTAGTCTTTTCCTCTACGCCCTTTGCTCCCGCTTCTTGCCTTCTTATTTTCCCTCCATTTCAAAAAAGACTAATTTGCCCCAGACCTTTTCACGTGGAACACACGTGTTGTGAATGCCGATCGATTCTAAAAAAAAAATTGAACAATAAATAAAACTATATCCCATTCATTAAATTTGAACATGGTCCAAATTTGTTAAATGATCCCATATACTAAAGTTAAAATGATTCACAAATACAAAAGCAAACCAATGCGAAATAAATTACTTTACAACATATTCGAAAACGGGAGCTGAATGCAACTCACTCTACATATACATGCAAAATCAGCTTATCTATCGTACAAGAAACACGCTCGAAATAACTCCCCATAAAAAAAAATTAAAAAAATTAATCCTTCTAATTTGCTGCGGGCCCCGCTTTATTCGAATGATCTGACGCAGGAATATCCAAATCCATCTGCTGAGATATTTGTGGCGCGGTTTCCACTTGATTTGCTATAGGTGTTTCTGTGTCCATTGGATCGTTTTTCTCCGATGCAAGATCAACGGCACAGACGACTTGTTCTTGGACAGAGTTTTTCTGAGATGTTTGATTCGTCGGTTTTACGGTTGTTTCGGTGGTCCCGTATTCAGACAGGAGATCCATGAACTCATTAAGCAACCTTTGAACTTTGCGGTTTGATGCCATAGCTGGGAGAATATCCTCTCGAAGGAGCTTATGCTTATTCATTCCCTATCAACGCCAAGATCACGAAAATTTAAGGGTTTATTGCATTCAGCACCTCTGTGTTTATTCTAATTGTAAAAAGCTCCCCGTGTTATAAATATTAGCAAAATCCCCCCTAGGATTCAATTTTATTAGCAAACTACCCCCTAAAGACGCACCGCTTAGGGGTTTGTGTGCTAAAAAAAATGCATGGTGTGGTTTCTTTTTGCTAATATTTATAACAAAAACCCGTATTAAGATTCGTGCATTTGGAAGAATTAATTAAAAAAAAGGGTCTTACGAGTACAAGGGGGGCCCACGCAGGTGTTTTGAGATCCGATCCAGATTCGGACATTCCAATAGGAGGTCCAAGAAAGCTCTCGCAAACTTCCCGTAAACGTGACTCATCTGCCTCCCTGCGTATTTTTATGACATGATCACCAAAAGGTCAGAACAATAACCGAACATAATAAAAAACCTAGACAAAAAAACAAATTTTTACGTGTGCATTAAACAAACCTTGCTAAAAACCGAATGTACGATAAAAGGGATTGTCTATATTCATTAGGAGAATTCAAAGACAATGCGGATGCCAGCTGAGCTTCCAAATGCCCACGTGTCTGCACCCCGTCATCAGTCACTCTGCACAGAGGTAAAACACGAATTTCATGAGAAATGCAAAATAATAATAAAAAAAATTAAAAAAAAATTTAAAAATTAATTTTTCGTTTTATAATTAAGACAGACCTGGTCCATCCTGGTTTTCGAGCAAGAAATTTTCTGACATCAACTTGCAACGACGCCAGCTCACCGCCATGAGTAGAACCCAAAGTCCACGAGCTAGCAAAATTCGAGGCGGGAAAACAATCGTCGGCCACTCTCAGCCAACACATAAGACTCGAATCGAATAGATAGGCATGGCGTGTGGCCAGTACAACTAGTGGAGAACCGGATTTCGATAGCTTCACTGATATAACTTTTATTGTACCTGCAAGAAAATATCAAGAATTGGAGGTAA